CCTTATTTATCATATTTAATGTGCATTCAAAAACAGCATCAAATATTTGAGGTATTTCTGCAGTTATGTGTCCTCCTAACTTGTTGACAATAGTAGCCATAGTACTAAGAACCTCTGGTTCTCTAGCAGCTGGGACATTTCTTTGATAATCAATGAGAACTGCATCCAAGAGAGGAGGAACAAAATTTTCAGCTACCTATTGAAAAAATAGATTTAAGTTTAAAGTTAGGCACTTGCTTACTATTATGCACAACTAAGTTACTCTGGCCTATATGATTTAGATTGATGATGAGAAAATTCTGTGCTTTGGTTAGGTTCCCTCCATTACCTTTTTTTTTTTTAAAGCCAAAGAAACCAGTAAATCAGGTAATGGCTAAAAAGTGCCATGGACAGTGTATTTCAAATCTACTCTTCTGAAGCCCAAATTGGGAAAGTGATTGAAGCCCAAATTGGGAAAGTGATTGGTCCCAAGATTCTAAGAATGCTGTAAATGTGGTATAAATAACATTAAAGTGATTAAAGTCCTTCCAACATGATATATATTAGAGTTTCTTACATGGATGATAGTTATCTATTGGAAACAAGGAACTCATCTATCCAGACCACTAGTAAACACACGCTAAAATTTGAACTTAATGAGTTCTAATTGGAAAATATTTAAATAGCTACTTGTAAATTACTAACTTAACAATTCTTTCAATTCATTCTACCTTGTGTTTTCAAGTTTTAAATACAATCCAACCACATAATACATATTCAAAACTGTTAAATGTTTACATTAACTACTTTTAGAATACAAAGGCAGGTGTTTGTATGTGGAGCAAGCACCCCAGTGTGGGTTGGCTGGGTAAGCAAGAAGGGCACTGGAGACCAGGAAATGAGGAGAGCAGTTTGGAACAGCTAAGAGAGACAAACTGTGAGTATATGTCATTCTGTGGTGGCTTGAGTGTTGTTGTGAGGCTGGAGGCTATACCAACGGTGTTTCAAATGCCAGCAGGGTTACCCATGGTGGACAAGTTTCTTGGGAGGCAGCATGTTTGGCCTCACAAGAAAAGGCCTTGGGCTAGTGATGGTGATTCTGTCTTCCTCTTGTGGGATTAGAGATCAGAAGATGTGGCTCTCTTGCCCCCTTGGCATACCCCTAATAAGGAAGACCAGTTAATACCACTATTCAAATTTACGCACCAATAACCAAATCCAAAGATGAGGAAATTAAAGACTTTTACCAACTTCTTCAGTCTGAAATTGACAGAACATGTCAATTAAGATGTGTTAATTATTACTGGTGATTGCAATGCAAAAGTTGGAAACAAAGAAGAATCACCAGTGGCTGGAAAATACAGCCTCGGCGACAGTAATAACATTGGAGATCGCATGATAAAATTATGCAAGACCAATGACTTACTCATTGCAAATACATTTTTTCAACACAAATGGCAGGATTACATGTGGACTCTGCCAGATGGAGTACACAGGAAACAGACTGACTACATCTGTGGCAAGAAGTAATGGAGAAGTTCACCATCTTCAGCCCAAACCAGGCCAGGAGCTGACTGTGGAACAGCCCATCAACAGCTCATATGCAAGTTCAAGTTGAAGCTGAAGACAATTAAAAGAAGTCGGTAAGAGCCAAGATATGACCTTGATTATATCCCTCTTGAATTTAGAGACCATCTAAAGAATAGATTTGATGCTCTGAATACCAGTGACCAAAAACCAGAGGAATGGTGGGACGACATCAGGACCATCACTGATGAAGAAAGCAAAACATCACCAGAAAGACAGGAAGGAAGAAAAGACCAAAATGGATGTCAGAAAAGACTCTGAAACTTGCCCTTGAACAGAGAATAGCTAAAGCAAATGGAAGAATCAACAGGATAAAAAAGCTGAACAGAAGATATCAAAGAGCAGCTTGAGAAGACAAAGTCAAATTATTATAATGAAATGTGCAAAGACCTGGAGTTAGAAATCCAAAAGGGAAGAACATGCTTGGCATTTCTCAAGCTGAAAGAACTGAGGAAAAAATTTAAGCCTCACATTGCAATACCGAAGGATTCTATGGGCAAAATGATGATGCACGAAACATCAAAAGAAAATGGATGGAATACACAGTCACTATACCCAAAAGAACTGGGAGATGAACATCCATTTCAGGAGGTAGCATATGATCAAGAACCAATGGTACTGAAGAAAGAAGTTGAAGCTGCACTGAAGGAACTGGTGAAAAACAAGGCTCCAGGAATTGACAGAATACCCATTGAGAGGTTTCAACAAAACGATGCAATGCTGGAGGCACTCACTTGGCTATGCCAAGGGATTTGGAAGACAGCTACCTGGCCAGCTGACTAAAAGAGAACCATATTTGTACTCATTCTAAAGAAAGGTGATCCCACAGAATGTGGAAATTATTGAACAGTATCATTAAATCACACTCAAGTAAAATGCTACTGAAGATAATTCAAAAATGTTTGCAGCAGTACACTGAGAGAACGTCCAAAAATGCAAGGTGGATTTCAGAAGGGGATGTGGAGTGTGGTATCAGAGCCGAAGTCAGATGGATCTTGGCTCAAGGCAAAGAATACCAGAAAGATTTGTGTTTTACTGACTATGATGCAAAGGCATTCGATTGTGTGGATCATAGCAAACTGTACATAATACTGAGAAAAAGAGGAATTCCAGAACACTTACTTAATTGGACTCATGAGGAACCTGTACACAGACCAAGACACTGTTGTTCAAACAGAACAAGGGTATGCTGCGTAGTTTAAAATCAGGAAGGGAGTGGATCAGGGTTGTGTCCTTTCTCCATACTTATTCAGTTCGTATGCTGAGCAAATAATCCAAGAAGCTGGACTATATGAAGAACATGGCATCAGATTGTAGGAAGGATTGTTAACCACCTCAGTACACAGACAACACAACTTTGGATTGCTGAAAGTGAGGATTACGTGGAACATTTACTGATGAAAATTAAAGACGGCAATCTGCAGTATGGATTACACCTCAATATAAAGAAAATAAAAATCCTCACAACTGGACCAATAAGCAGCATCATGATAAATGGAGAAAAGATTGAAGTCGTCAAACATTTCTTTTATATTACTTGGTTCTACAATCAATACCAATGGAAGCAGTAGTCAAGACATCAAAAGACATGCTGCACCGGGCAAATCTGTTGCAAAAGACCTCTTTAAAGTACTGAAGAACAAAGGTATCTCCTTGAAGACTAAGGTGTACTTAACCCAAGCCATGGTATTTTCAATCGCCTCATATGCATGTGAGAACTGGACAATGAATAAGGGAGAATGAAGAAGAGTTGATGCTTTCAAGTTGTGTTGGCAAAGAATGCGGAACGTACCATGGAGTGCTAAAAGACTAACAGATCTGTCCTGAAAGAAGCGCAGATGCTCCTTCGAAGCTGAGAATGGTCAGACTTCATCTCACATACTTTGCTAATGTTGTCATGACCATTGTCTGGAGAATAATGTCATGCTGGGTAAAGTGGAGGGTCAATGAAAGCAGGTAAGGACCTCAACGAGATGGACTGACATGGTGGCTGCAGCAATGTGCTCAGGTACAGTAGGGTTTGTGAGGCTGGCACAGGATCAGGCAGTGTTTCGTTCTGTTGTACATAAATTTGCTATGAGTTGGAGATGACTCAATGGCAGATAACAAGAACAACCAACAACAAAACCTTTAGAATCCCCTAATAATTGTATTCTGAACAAATTTCCTGAAGAATATTTCTTTATTAAGGAGTAACACTGAAACTTCAAAATCAGGGAAGCATACCTGTCAGCCACTATTTCAAACAGCAATCGTTACAATTTATTTTGGCAAAACAGTCCCAAGGCTAAATGAAAATATGTAACAACAACTAAATATAACTCACATCATTTCAAGTTGAAGCATATTTCTCTTTCTGGAAATCATTTAAGAGTAAAATGAGTAAGAGTAAAACACTTTCAAACCTTCAATCTGGAAAGCAAACTAATTATAGCTTTTTAAGTAACTAGATTTATAAACTGTTCTCAAAATTCTAAGGAATGTAAACATTGCATTTGAATTCCATTAATTTAAATTTTCCTCCCTATCCACAGAAAAATAAAAACGACCCAATATTTTATTTATCTTGTTATTACCATCCTGCCCTCATCGATTCATAGCAATGTTTTTGGAAGATGATAAATTACTGTTGGTCAAGTACTCTCATAAAAATAAGAGTGCAATAAAATAATCTCATATGTAAGCATCTAAATTACTTTTACATTAGCTAAGTGGATAAACAGGTAGACATAGCATATTTCAGAGAATGCAGAATAAACTTAAAATACAAGGGAAAAAATAGTTAGATAATATCTCTTACCATCTGTGGATCATTGGAGCGGCTCACCCAACCAGATATTAACTTTAAAGTTTCCCTTTTCACTGTTCGCATACTTCTTATCAGTGGTTGTTTTGTAACCATCTCACCTGAAAAAGATAATGGAATGGAATCTAATTTGACAACTAAAATTGTACAGTGATAGTTACATGTGCTTCAGGTGCTATTAGTTCCCATTTACCATTAAAAAACTTAAAGTCAAGATTACACAAATGAATTTACCAGAAAAACTTTATGATTAATTTTACAGTAATTCAGAAGCACCTACCATTAGCTTGAATAGCTGCAGAAATATTTTCACTGAGGCACTTGTATACATTAAGCATATCTAAATAAATTCTTCCAAGCTGAATTACAAAGGGGTGTCCAACAGCTTTGCAGGCTCTCACATTTGTTTTTAATATACTACCAAGTTGCTTGACTGTTTCAGGATCTTTAAGTATGTCCACATTCTGTGAAGATACAAATTCCAATTAGCAAATGGTATTTTTTAATGTAATTGCTTACAACAAAAAAATACCTCCTTTGCTCCAAACCACCATCACGTTTATAATCCAAAAGCATAAAACAAGTTTGTTGTTGTTGTTATGTGCCATCGAGTCGGACCTGACTCATAGCGACCCCTTCCTTGGGTTTCGGAGGTAGTATAACTACCCCATCTTCCTTCCAAGGAGTGGCTGGTGGGTTTGAACCGCCAGCCTTCTGGTTAGCAGTCAAGTGTCTTAGGCACGATGCTACCACAGCTCCCAAAACAAATACTATTGTTGTTATTTGCCATCGAGTCGGACCGACCCATAAAGACCCCTCCTTGGGTTTCCAAGGCATTATTACTTCGGAAGTAGATTGTCCAACCTTCCTTCCGAGGAGTGGCTGGTGGGTTTGAACCGCCAGCTTTCTGGTTAGCAGTCAAATGCCTTAGGCACTACGCTATCAGAGCTCCTAAAACAAATATAGATGTCTTTATTACTTATATCTGCCAAGAATAGAGTGAAACATTCTTAATTCATCATCTAAACAAAAGAAAAATACAATGTGATTTTTTAATGTGCCAAAAAACTCAGACAAAAGCACGTGTGGATATATACATTTCAAAAGTACCAAATTCACTACTTTTGTTAAGTAACCTTGTCTTCAATCCTATTAAAAGTTCAGTAAGTAATAAAACTTACTTTGGTTGCTTGCTGGATTATACTGTCCCACACTTGATTAGGAAGTAGCATGTATTTTTCTATCAAATGTTCTTGTACTGTTTGGTCTGTCTGTGCACCAATCATGTACCCCACAGCTTCATAAAATGTATGAACCTATTTTAAAAGGAGAGATATTACTTTTATACTTTCTAATAAAACACACACAATTTATATATGTTAGGGATGATTTATATTGGGTAGGGCAACAGCCTAACAAACCTCTGGTTAAGTTTCTGGCTCTATACAAGAGATACTACAACTGAATTCAGTAGGTATTCTATTTCCACCGTGAAGTCTGATTAATATGATTACTGTTTTCTGGAATAACATGCTTAGTGTTTTACATACCTGTTGAGGCTGAAGATCACAAATTATAGTGTTAATGTTGTTCAAAATCTCATCAATAAATGGCATTACTTCTCCAACCTGAACTTGAACGAAATGTCTGCGGCATTTCTGTGCTATTTTAATGAAAGTATCACAAG